CGACAGTATTCGTTTTATGAAAAATCAAAACCTCTGGTACGCATGTGCAGAGATTGTTACATGCCAAAACAATGAGTACACGCATGTGGATTAGACAATGTCATTGTTTAATCGAACGAAATCAGAATAGTGCTACAATAACAGCGTAATCATGACATGATATGTATTCATGAACATACAGTATCAAATATCAATATTAAAAATTACACGTTGTCGTCCATATTGTATATAGTCTGATGTATTATACGGTGTGTATTTTTTAATTTCATTTATTTTACTTTTTACAATTTTGTTTTTAGTATTCTTGTTGTTTTCATCACATACATGTTAATTTTGTATTATTTCTACTATCTTATGGTCTTTCGTGGTTGACAAATGTATTAAAAATAAAATTAATATAAAAATCAATAAAAATATGATATTATTTTAACCAGCTTCATTATAATGAAGCACGTAGCGATGTTTTGAAATTTATAGTTTTAGTTAGAATTGTATATATTTAGTATTGCAATAATTTGGAAGACTGACCAAGACTTATTTATTTGAAATATTAAAATAACGCTGTCATAATTAAAATGGTTCGCAACTGTTCATACCTGTGTTAAAGCGGGGGAGTTGTCACCTGCGCATGCGTCAGATGGCCATAGCGTGTCATTGTTTACAAACAAGCGTCTACCCATGAGCCTTTGCGTGTTAGCGTGTGTTTTTAGCGTCGGTTGGGACTCAATTCCCGCGCGTGCGCAGGTGACGACCCTCCGCTTTGAATAAAATCTGCGCAATCATATTGCAGTATTATTGTTGTATGTTGACATGTAAAAGCACTGCGTTTTCTATTATGTAGTAAACGACGGGATTCATATATTTTATTCTCAATTTAATTATAAACCGTTGCATTTATATCTGTTATGTAAGTGAGACATCGTCCGCTTATCATTTGGAACAAATATAGAAATTGAAAAATTATAAAAAAAGTATTCATTCACACGAAATAAATAAAGGAATTTAAAAATGGTGATTATTTATATAGTAGCTATGAGATAGACCTTTAGAAACTTTTGAAGGGTTATTATAAAAAAAAGGACTATTTTTTTCCATCTCTTAGTTTTGACCCAGTTTATTTTTCCAGAATGGTGTATATTGCTTTTCCTTATCAAATGTGCGTCATTTTTCTTTTATGAATATTGTTTTTTTTTCTCTCGAATTGTCCTTGAATTGAACATTTTTGCTTTGCATTTTCTTAAATTTACCATCTCTCCCCAGATTATGTCATGTCCCCGATATTCTATGACAAACATCCTCGACAATCGGAAATGACATGGATTATATTGTTATGCGAATAATCCGGCTGCGAATAGTAAAAATTTTATTAATAATAAATGTCATAACATATATATAGAATATAAATTAAACTTTTCATGTGATTATTTCAGGCGAACCGAGGATATTTGATGAGCAATCATCTTCGCCAGCCAAGGTTTTTTTTATTCAGCTGTATCCGCAATATTCACAGAGAAGGCATGGATGGTCGGCTTTGAAACCTTACAAAACGAACGATGATGAGCAGTTTGTTACCCTAATCTGCAGCGGGTTCGATTCTTTATAACACGTTTCTTTGTAAGATGCTACCCATTCCAAGAAGTACACGTGATCTCAATATGTTAAAGAAAGTGGCTAATTTGTCGGAGTTCAAGAAAAAACAAAAACAGATTTTTGAGAATAATAGTCAGTTTGATAAAGCGTGTGATAATGTTTAGTAATTTGTTCGATAAGGCTTGTTAATAAAAAGTTGATTTAAAAATAAGCAATAAATACTACCCATAAGTGACGTTGAAACGTATGCGTCCTTACAAATAACGTATTTTTATGACGATTGTTCGAGCGTCTAGAACCGGGGGTAGATTGTTCTAGCGTCTAAACCGGAGGGGGGGGACTTTATGTCTAGCAGACATTCACAAAAGAGTATTCACAAAATTGTTTGATTCAGAAAAACAAATGAGTAAACAAAATCTATCACGCATTTCAACTGATATTACGTTGAAATAATGTTCAATTTTCAGACAGTAAACTGATTTATAACCAATCACAGAAAAGACGCAGTGTAATATTGAAATTCTCATTTGAGATACATCGACATAGCTACATGCCAGGTTAGCGATTTTGATTCGACGAACGACTTAATAGCGTCTTAATTTAGCTAAAGTGCCAACAATCTCATTGTGAGTATACACTTTTAAATTAGCGACATCTTGAATTAACTAAATTAACGAAAATGGCATGCTAGTTAAAAAGGGATATTGTACAGCATTGCAAGCGCAAATCGGCGTTTTATTCTTACTTAACACGTTTCAGTAAGATCTCTTAATCTCGGCAAACGCGTTACAACGCGATTATCTGTGTGACACTGTATATGTGTGTAGAAAATAGCTCTTTTGTATTTGCTCATAACTACATACAAAATATGTAACTATAGCAATGTACACATTTTCAGAAAGCTGCGATATAGGAGAATTGGCTTGTACATTTCAAGTTATGTTTGTTTTTGTTTACGGCCAGTAATTCAGGGGATAAACCGTTTCCAATGTATCATTCATCCTACATTGTCGGTATTTCCCGACTTGTTTTGAAAGGCATTGAGCCAAAGACAAATGCTGCTGAAAGAGCGCCACGGACGCCGATGCGCGTCGTATTTGACATGGGTCCCATATAAAATATAATGCAGCTCATTATTTTTAAAACGTGACAGATTCAGTAATATATGAATGGATACCTCAATGCGGATAACTGTTTCGATCGTGAACAAACCGTGTTTTTTTCCCCGGTTTTCATCACCTGAGAAAATGAAGACACGGACTGGGCCCTGTCATATACTACTACGCAAAGCTTCGTGAAAATATATGCATTTGTATAGTTATATGTAAATCATAGAGAATTCCTAATTACAATTTTATTGGCCGCATTATCTTAAAGTAGAGGAGTCGTCACCTGCGCAGACGCGTTTCTACCATGAATCTTTGCGTTTTTAAGCGTGAATTGTTATCGTCGCTTATGACGACCCTCCGCTTTAATCTTTCAAACCCAAAAATAAACCGTTGTCACCGTTCACAAAATAAGATTTGCATAATTTGCCAATTTAGCCAATCAGAAATTATACCCATTTACTCCAAAATATTTACTTGCATCAAAATATTGGAGGTAAAACTCTCAAAGAATTAACGTTCAAGACGAATATCGCCATTGTTCAGCGCATAGCCCAGAAAAACCGCGGCGAACACAAGTCAGGTGATATAGCTTTCTGCCTCTACAGTAGACATCACTGTCATAAAAATGGCAGTAGATTAAATCCCATGTCACGAATTCATGCTATGGCAGTCTGAAAAAGCATCGACTTTTCGAACTCACTTAGTAACTAACCACCCGTCAATTATAATACATCAGTCTGCTCACCATGTTCACTGTGTGTGTGCTCAGCGGGTATGTGGAGTTTAAAACGAATAGCAAATTGTCCTTGTTTAGATTATTTTCAGATTGACAGATACTACTATCCAGGGCGGTGAATACATCCCGATCGACATTTTCATATGCCACGTGACCGGCGCAACCAATCCAGTACACTCATAGTCAACAGTTTTTGCTACGTCATCATTTCTGGTAGTTCAAAAATAACCTGTGTTGTGTACCAAATGACATTCGGTTCAACATTTACACCCCATGATAATACAGCTACGTTTTCAAATATGGATTTATTGATTTTTTTTATAACAAAATCTAGAATATTTTTGTATATAAAGCGTATACTAATGTAAGAAATGTGAAAATGAATTTCGGAAATATTTTGCTGGAAATCCTGATATTTTCTGGCCCATTAATGATCGCCAGAAATGATTTACTGTCACCGTAAACCGGGTGGTTTTCCTGTAAAAAGGTTATCCATGTTATCATCACTGATATCATATTCACGTGAGAAAAATACTGAATCCATCTGGCAAAGCTTGAAATAATCTGAATATAACAACCACTAACTTGAACATTTAGAAAATTTACTTTTTGATGGCGACGTAGAAATATATCAATGTCTCGCACATGCCTTATCTCGGTAAATGTATTTGAAGACAACGCATGCGCGGCCACTATCGTGTTCCGTTATTTACGGCGAGGCAGCGACACGCCTGATCCTGTTACTTTCTGAGGATAGTGTTGCCCTATAAAGGCAAAAATGTATAATATTATACGTCGATTGTTGCCAAGTTTAACTAATTTAGAACTTCAATCGACTAATTGTAATTTAAATTCTCATTGAATGTGAATTTCAATTTTCTGAATGTACCCGGATGTATGATCGTTGTGGCTTGGGGTCGTGGTAAGTTTTCTGCCCCGTGACATTGATGCTATACGGCATTACCGGCCGACTCCAGCGCCAGCAACGAGTCGAGCGACATTTCACATAAATAAGGTGTTTGAATGCAAGGCACTAACGCAAAATCAAAATCTGCCTCTCAAATTATATTTCATTTGCATAAACTACGTACCCGAAACAACTGAAAATGAGGGTTTTCTTCCGAAGTTGGATCAATACGCGTTTGAATAAATTAACACATATACAATCATCTTGATTACAATCGTGAAATGGGAATATATTAGCATAATATAAAACCACAAAGATATTATTTTCCACAGCCTTTTTTTCCACCATGCATTATTGAATTCTGAACAGCGTCAAACATGATCAAACGTTCTCGAATCGTCGTCAATTGCTATCCCATCAAAGAGAGCTAGTTCGAATTTGATGAAGCAACTCTCAACAACGTACGTTCCGATTACTCGAATGTACACACTTACATATAGATCGCAGAAGGTTTATTGTCGGTAACCATGGCAACGTCTTGGTATATATAATTTTATTGGTAATTGCCACAGGCACGATGAGAATTGCACAGTTAGCGTTGGTCACAATGCAGGCTAGTTCATTAGATATGCGATGATTTATCTAGTGAGGAGTCTTGTTATTTTAAATCGATGTATTTCTTTTGGTATTCTTCAGGTTCAGAGTCCCGCTCAACCTGAGTCTTGCCTTCAGCGTTTCCAGTGGAATCCTTTTCTCTCGTTTCAGTTTCTATGCCCGAATCAACGCTGATTGCTTTTTCTCTCCTGCTATCCGGCACAAGCTTTGTATGATCGACGGTGTTATCGACTGTATGACTATCGTCCGTGTTCTTTCCAGGCTCACCAACTTCTGCTTTCTCCTCCGCATGCGAGACTATTTCGGGCGATTCTTTATTTTCTGAAGGGGATGTACTATTGCTGCTCGATTTTTCTAGAAATTTCCGCGAGTTTTTACGACTACGTCCAAATTTCAACATATCTTTATGCTGTTGTGGCGGTAGTCCCTGACCGTATGCATCAATGTCGCTCATTGGTTGCATGCTGTTATAATGGTGTTTCGTTTTTTTGTGTTTGTGTGCCCTGTTTTTTTGAGGACGGTCAGCCTCATTATCGTCAGAGGTGATCAGTCCGGAACCTTCTATATATCCGCGGTCACGAATAACTTGTGTAGTAGATGCGTGTTGCTCAATACGTCGCGTCAAGGTCAATACTTGAGCCGTCAGCTGATCGTTTTCTGTCCGCAGCGTTTCGTTCTCGCTTTTAAGGCTTGTTTCATCATTGCAGACGCATTCGTTCCGTTCTTTTTCTAGCACAGTAATCTTGTATTTTAAACTTTCATTTTCTGCTAGAAGACTTTCGTTCCGCAAAACTGTATCGGCGCTGTTACTGTTGCGAGACGGTCGACTTCCCATTTTGCCGACGGTGATGACGTACAGGATTTATCCAGTTGTTAATCCACCCAGTTTAAGTAACTGTAGATAACAAAAAAACAAACAAAAAACAAACATAACACAAACCATAATAACGCAGAATTCATTATATTTTATACATTAATTGACTATCCATATTTCTCCATCACCCAAGTACCCAATCGTGGCTGTAACACTACGTACCATCAATAATTAACAATGGTTCCATTTAATTATCTATACATGATTTGAAAAAAAAAATGTCGCCGTTTTGATTGCCTGCGTCATTTTACGTAACCTAAACCAACATAACATGTACGCACCGCCTAGATTGTATCCTTCGTAATGTCTTACTTGCCAATCTTAATAATCATGACGGATATCAAAGCGAGGCCGATGCCATGGCAACTAATAGTCAAGCGCGTCGAAAACATCGACGCTATCTGTAGTCAGTGTGTTTAGCCCGAAATTTCTCGACCAGCAGGACAACAGACTGACAATTGGCATCAATATAAATACAGTAGAGAATATTCAGTTTTAGACATAATTCATAATGAGCATCTGAATGGAGAGACACGTTTAATATTGCTTTATACTAGACAACTGCTTTCACGTGACAAGAGGCTCACGCTTCCAAGAAAAACGATTAAATAAAAACCGTCTTTCATGGGGATAATACTCTAGTTGCCATGGCAGCGTCAAATACAGTATTCATCCTTTTCAGATAGTCGCGCATTTCGAATCAAAGTATTGACGGTTAATTCGCTGAACACGGATAATAATTGGAATATTTACGCAAATAAAATGTACGCTGCTAAACGCAGAATCATGATGAGTTTTACGAGTACGAATACATAGCCGTGGCTCAGTGTTTCCCGCTAACGGGACAGTGTTTAAGGCTTCACTACGCATATAATGTGAAGCAACCAGCAACCGTGTCCATACGATACTACCAGAGGCGATACATGGTGATACAAATTATGTCGATATGTCGAACAAAGAGTGCCAATGACATTGATGCCGATGCGTCACCAAGCGGAGTGAGAGACATCAACCCCGTGTATGCAATCAACGAGATGATATTCAGCGAATTAAACCTGATATATAATCAACATTCAATCAATATAGAGTGTGGCGATTTACCACACTCTAATGCTAACAAGATAGACCACGATCTACAAAAAAGCACGCGATATCTAACATCTGCGGCGCCGTTAGAAAATCGTGTTGCTTGGGGAACGTTACCAACAAGGACAGACAGTTTGAAGACAATAAAATAGCAATCGTATTTTACCTGTCATTATTAAATCATTCTTGTCACCAGTGCCCGCGTGATGTCACCCTCGCGTTGGCATATTGATCTATAATGTTATGAGTGTTTGTGTCCTCGATTTAAACACACTATTTGATCAATGCGCATGCGCAGTTTAATTTAAATGAGGCTCGCCATAGCAACCAATGAAATGATACTTGTGTGTTTTGTGGATATGGCTTAGGTTGTTTTTATCAGTTTTTCGATTATTTCTGAATGGGGAAATCATTAATCGGCGACGGAAGCTTGTGCGTGCGTTAATATTCAAACGATTATTAATTCTTCGCCGCTGACAAATCAATATATAAATTTGTATGTATAATTTTTATTCAATTTTTTAAACATTGCCGGAAAGCATTGGATGTGACTTCCTTGACACATTGGCCTCCAAATATCTGCACGCAGCGTTGTCCAAGATGTATGTCAGAAATCTGCCCGATAGTTTTTTCCAGAATGTTACTACGCCAACTTTACAAATCTGCAATTATTTTCTTTTTAAAAAATCTTGTAGTGGATAAAGTGGAAAGGATGATTTTATGACGTATACAGCACCAATCTGATTAAAATTTAACCAGATACG